ATCCTTAACTGCGTATTCAAGCTTTGAAAATATTTAGGTTCTTTAAATACTTGTTATATAGGCAATTTCTTTAATAGTTATTTCGGCAAAGAAAAGTTTGGAGACTTTGCTGAAAAGAATCTATTTTTCTTGACACTTTATGTTATACAGAAAGCAGGTGAGCTTTTTATTTATTTAAAAACTTGAATTAAACTTTATCAAATTCAAAAGTATTTCAGAGATAGCTTATGTTTGCTATAGGGCATTTATTGTTCAGATGATAATGTAATTCAGATAGAAAACTATCTGCATCAATCATTGATTTTACTTTTTTTTAGAAAAATAGACAAAATATTTTGTCAGCTATTTAAAATCAAAAGGTTCTGTGATTTTGCTATTCATTCAAACTAATGGAAATGTGTATATATATCTTTGCTGTCCTTTTCACCATTCTTATTTTCCTTTAATATTCTCCGATATTAGGAATTTAATGAATGTGTATACTCAACCAATCATTATATTCATCATTTATGGGCGTGTTAATAGAATATATTGTAAAGGTTCCTTATTGTATGAGGTTTGTTTATTTTAGAATGAATCAGTTTGTTCCAGCAGTTAATATTACTGTTAATTAATTTTCAGCCAAGTTATATTTGATGTGAAAGCTTTATAAAAGAATCAAGCATAACTGGTCAACAGAACCTCTTATAATTATAGAATTTTCTCTGCGTCTGTTGTCTGCAATCAGAATACACCAGTATGATGTGATGGCCATAACTTCTGGTTTACACTATGTGTTTGTTTTAGCCTTGGGTGCCATTACTCAGTACCTTCCAACTGGTAGTCACAAACAAAACCCTTTTGCTAAGTGACTCATAAAACATTACCTGCTGGTTTTCATTGGGTGACTTTTATTATTTCTAAATCAGCATTTTCAGAAAGAGAGTCGCTGTGGTTTTTCAGGTACAACCCGTCTTTCTGCTTGTGACCCTTACACACTATTGAAAAGTTACTAAATAGAGATTTGAAAAAATCACTACCAGTAAATTGAGTGGCTAGAAAATTCCTGATCCTGAAGGGCCGCTGATGATAATGCTGACTGTCTGCTAATTGGAGTTCTGTCTATCCAGTTCTCCTTTAGAAAGAGGTCTTCACATTTGCTCAGTTGACTGAGGGAGTGATTGCTAATGAAGATAACAAGACCCAGAAGAAAGAAAATTATATTTGAGGATGATTTATTGAAAATTTTGAACGTACTGGATGCCTTAATTTCAAATTAGCAAAAGGCCTTTGAGTCAACATGTCTTTGAGTTCAGATACTTCTCTTGTCTAATTAAAAAGAAAGCAATGAGAGAGAGAATTGTTCTTAGAAGGGCCAGGAAGGTGAGTCAGTATTGAACGGCACAGCTTTTTTTAGACGTTTTTAGAAAGTGGACATTTTAGAAAATATAATGAATCTATTTTTCTTACACAGAGGCAAGCCCGAAGCAAACTACGTAAAAACAAACTAGAGTGACCATGTGTAGGCACTGACCTCAGGTAGCCATGTGGCAACGGGTCTCTGTAATTATCAGAATATCCCAGCTAACTGTGCCTTGTTCCCTTAGCATGTGTACATTGGGTACCTCATCCATGGGAGCTAGAGCCGGGGCACCAACATGTCTTAATTTTCTCTCCCAGTGATGTGCACAAAATCAAATGGCACCTGACTAGACACAAATATTCCATCAGAAACCAGCCTCCTGAACTATCCTTTGCACCCATAAAAATAGGAAGTTAATGCTGCCTCTGTTTCAGTGAAGCAGAATAAAGCAATCAGAGGAAATTTAGCTACTCCCCAGATATTAATGCAAGCAGAAAGAAGAAATCATTCGAATGATGGATGTAAAAATTAAATTAAAATTAAGTGTTCACAACAAAAGATGTTGCTAAAACATACGGGGCAATTGAAAAGCAGTTGGTAAACTAATTTGTGCTGAAATAGAAATCCTAATTTATCTCTGGAACTCTTGATTAACAGATAAACTAAATCTTAGATTTTCTTCACAGATATTTATTGAGCACTTACTGTATGCCAGATACCATGCTGGGAACTGGTTAAAAATAAATAAGACTTAGAAGGTCTTCAATAAGTAACAGATAAATGGATTATTTATAGCTAAGGTGACCACATGTCCCAATTTGCCAGGCATGGTCCCACTTTGCCCCTGTTGTCCTGGCCTGTCCCAGTTGGGATGATACATTATATAGACCCTTTTGATTTAATGCAGCAAAACCATCCCCACCACCATTAAAAAACTTTTCCTAAATACCGATCTTTAGTTTCCTGACTTATTCCCACATTATGGCCTTGTTTAGCATTTGTAAAATCTTTCAAGTTGCCACAGAACTTTTCTTAGTTTTCATTCTTTACACAATGGATTGAACAGTTTCTACAAATTGAAATAACGTGTTCCTAGCATTATTCTGGGAACAGCAAAGAAAAGTGGGAGGCCATTTCCGTTTTGCGGGAGAGACGGGTATTTTTCATTGAGGCCACATGCGGTGATAAAGCTGTGGGAGAGCACTTGCTGCGTGTAGCCCAGTTGGGGTGTTTGATTTTCTCAGGAAGGTATCGCATAGCTGAATTGTTAGCTACTGTGCTTAAGGAGTGATTTGGGGAAAATTGGTGGTGGGAGGGAACATGTGTTCACAGATAAATAGTTTACCTTTAGACAAAAAATGGTTGACTGAGAATACATGAATTTTAGAGGGTAAAAAAGTGGATTTCAAAGTTTTTTTCCTTTTCTCCTTGCTTCTTTGGAAGTTAGTGTTTTTCCTTGAATGTTAACTTTGTGCTTTTTAAATGCAGAATAGTTTTTAATTCATTTAAGCCTCCATGATCTCATCTGTCATTTGCCAGGAAGAGAGCGTTGCCCAGGAGCTCAGCTATTTACCTTATTAGTATTCTGGGTTCCCCGACATGTATGTCATAGTTTGTTGCATGAGGTTTGTCAGTAAGCGAAGGAAGAGCAACGAGTTAGAAAAGATCTGTTTTGTGCATCTGCAGGCAGCCGTCACATACAGATCACGTCTTGTTTCCCTCCCGGCCAGAACGGCATGGAGATTGTGGACTGTTTATGGATCTTGAGATTCTAACTCACATATAAACATTCATCTTTTTCCTTTCTGTAAAAATGATGGTATATTTGTCCCCACAAAGAAGCATATCTGTGTTTCAGAAAGGCCTCATCCGATGCTGTCAGGGAGCATTGGTTCGAAGAGTGGCCCTTAAAGATCTAAATGACTTAATGACTCCTTGCCATAGTGTTGGAAGATCAGAAGCCATTCGGCTACTTTAGCGGGGACAGTCATAGGCTCCAGATGGCCACACTGCCGTGACATGGGTTCTCATCGATAGAGTGGGCTGTTTGTCTTAGACTCAAGCAAACAGAGATATAATCGCTCTTAGGTTAATCAGCTAAAGGTTGAGAGTGTCTTCATGGCACCCTGTTCTGGAAAGTTAGATTCTTGTTGAAGCTGTTGTACACAGAGCCCATCGTAGATGCTCTGACAAATTTGTGTCTGGTCCATGAATGGGTGGATAGTCACCTTAGCAGAGGCTGGAGTTCCTCACATGCCCTCAGTGATATGGGGATCAGAGAAAGGACTTCACTGTCTGATAGGTACATTTGGTTTCAGTATCTCATTAACAAGTCTTAACAGAGATTCTCCTTTTAGTTTCTTATTGGGATGAGTTTAAGAGGCTTTGTCCCCGAAGTATAGACACCAGATGAGGATTTCTGTGTTTTCATCCTTAATATCACATATGGAGACACCTGGGCATCATGGAAAGAGCACTGGGCTTTGGAGCAGACTCGCCTGAGTTCAGATACTGGCTCAGCCAGGTCTCGATGGGCGAGCTTGCTAAGCTGCATCAACTCTTTGAGCCTGGCTTTTCCTGTCTGAAGAAAATGGCGATGACGCTTCTCCCTGCAGCATTTCTGTGAGGAAATGGGAGGAAGAACAAGAAGCCCGATCCTCAGCCTATGAGATGCCTAATAATTGTTAGTGTTCTCCCTCTTGCGCTAAATGTTTATCCCTTTCTCTGTGCTAGAAATATCTACACTACTTTCAAAGCACATTAAAATGGTTTTCTCTACTATAATTTAGCACCTTGTAAAAATGAGGACATCTTTTATATAAAACAGTAGTAAAATATCCTAGTATAAGCCCCATTCTTTATAATTAGTAAGTCTCGAAAAAACCTAGAGATGATCGGAGGCAAGGCCTCTTTTTATGATTATTACTTCAGGCTTCTGTGGAAGAGCTTCTGCCACCAAAACAAAAAGCACACAGCTGCTCTGATGAATGTGTTTATCTTCTGAAGGCCAAGACATATATTAAATAAGACTAGTGAACAGATGTTAATTGGTTATATTTTATATTCTAGTTGGTTGGAATTACATTTGCTATTAACTTACTATAAATTTTTAAAATTGTATTCTAATTGATCGTTAGAGTTATAGGAGGTACCAAGTTCATCCCTTGAATACTTGGCTATTTAGACAATTTTTAGGTCACTATGAAGAAGCTTTGTTAAAAAATCATGAAATTTGTATGTGCCACTGGTAGGTACCACCTGTGCTCTTCGTTTTTGGGCAGAGGATGGTGCAACCCTGTGGCTTCAGATTTCACGCTTAGAGACTCAGGCCTTCCCCTCTAGAGGCGTTTGTGTCCTGGAGAGTACCAGAAAGCTGTCTCAGAGCCTCTCTGATGAGCAGACCGTTGGTTATTTGGCTTGTGTTTATATCTGTTATTGTTGGGGACACCTGTAGTCTTCTTGGGAATAAATGGTAAGTTCAACAGTCTCTTCACACATAGGAAATGGATGAGAAATCGTATTTAATGCAGGTTGGAAATCTGCAAGTTCTGTACTCACATAATGAGATTTGGCGTCATGGGTTGTTGGGGTTTTAGCCAGGGGCCAAGTCAAGCCCTTGCTGTAATGATCAAGAGTGCGCCTCCACTTTGTTTTCCAGGGCCAGCCGGGGGACCAGGCTGCTCTCTTTGCTGCACAGGCGCGGCCTTCCCCTCAGCTCCCCCAGTACCCAGGGCTGCAGCAAGCACAGGTACCACGTTTGCTTTGTAGATGCCACTGGGGGGTTTTAACGCTCTTTATTTGAAGTGAGAAACCAAGTAAGTAGGATATCAATTCCCTTGGGGGTCTAGAACTTAGTTACGTCTTCTGCTTACAGGTTACAATAGACATTTCAAATGAGCATTACAGGTGATTGTCGAACAAGTCTCTGGACTGATTAATTTAAAGAGCAGAAAACATTTTGGGAACTTCCTGAATTAAAAACATAAATAAATTCAAACCTCTCTGTTACTGATGATGGTAGATATTGAAATGCTTAACAGTCTCTGAGTGTTTTATGTTATAATGTACCATGATGTAATTCATGAGTCAGTTTATCGTCTTCAAAGATAGCTTCCAAGAGGAGTTGTGGTGGAATAAGATGATAATTGGCCTTGGAATCAGACCTTGCACAATTCCTGACAACTTACCAGCTATGTGACATTGTGCAAGGTCCTCTGAATCTTGGTTTCCTTCTCTGTAAAATGAGGATTTAACACAACCTATGAAACTAGCATGGCACCAGATACACGGTAGCTGCTCAACAAATGATGGGCTTGCCTTAATATAGTGCACATCTGGAGCTATTTTTTCAGACAATTCTGTTATTTCTGCCTCCATATACTTTTACTCTATCCCTCTCACAGTGAGGAGCCTGGGGGTGGCCGTCCCCACTGTGTCCACCGTAAGAGGAGAGCCGAGATGGCCTCCATAGGCACTGAGCCCTGCAGTCTGTGTTCATTCCTGCTGCTGCTGGGGGTTCACTGCACGTTACTGTCTGCCAACTCAGAGCCGTTCAACGACCTTGACATGTGGTGCTTGGAGGATCTGAAGAGCTGTCGCCTTCTGCTTTAATCAGCATTCTGTTCTGTAAATTGTAGATGGTGATCCCGCAGAACCTCAGGTTTTTCTTTTACGTTAGGTGTCAGGATCTAGAAAAACAGGCACTCGTATGTTAACATTGAATAGAAAACTAAGTATTCAGGATATTGGTGGAGTGCTGAAATGGGCTGTGGTCGAACCAAGACTAGAGGGTGTTGAATAGTCACAGATCACACCCTTGCTCTCTGGCTAAGGTATTAATTGGGGGTTTTTTGGTAACTGGTTAGTTACTACAGGCACACTTCTCAGATTTGAGGAGGTGTTGTCACATATCAGGACATAAATCCATTATTTTAATTTACATTGAGCATGGTAGCTGTTCTGACTCATTTTGGAAATGACATTAATGCTGCTTGGGATCTGTTGAACATTGATGTCATCTGTGCACTAAAGATATGGATGTTTGCCTGTTTCTTTCTATACAGAAACATGCCCTTCCTTGCCTCAGAATAAGCACCTGATCTTAAAACTAACCTCTTAACCAAATGAGGATTCATTTTTTTTAAATTGCATTTTCTGGCAAATCATTATCCAACTGGTTCATTCCAGAGCTTTCCAGCTAGCCTCTTTGCCTCCATGGTGGTCCTTCTCATATTTGGGGTCATAGGAGCCTTTGAGAACAGTGAATTTTAGGAGGCTTCTCCTGGGTTTGTCTTTGCCCCATTTATGTTAACAATGGGAAAGCCAGTGGTACATGGAAATGTTGACTTCATTCCTTATGTCTGCCTGCAGACCATGCCCCAGGGCTACACGATGTATGGAACCCAGATGCCTTTGCAGCAGACCCCACAGCAGCAGGCTGGCAGTGTGGTCCTGTCCCCGACCTATAACTCCAGAACTTATCCAGCCGCACATTCCAACCCGGCGCTCATGGAAAGACTCAGGCAGATGCAGCAGCAGCCCAGCGGCTATGTCCAGCAGCAGGCGTCGCCCTACCTGCAGCCCTTGACTGGCTCTCAGAGGTGATACATGTGGAAATAAGGATTGCAGTAACAGACACTCATGTTCTTGTCTTTGTTATGCTTCTCTAGGGCGTGACGCTCTATGTTGTTTTTATGAGCGTGTGTACTTGCATGTAACTTGCATCGTGCCATCTCACTTTTAGGAGCGTCCAGATAGAGACTGAGGGTAAGCAGTGCTCTGCCTGGTGCATTTCATTCAAGGCCCCTGTAGCTTGATTCACGTCTTCCATAGTGTGGCTGCAGTATTTTTAGATGACACCACTATGTTCTTTTTTTTATCCTCTTTTGAAAAGGTTTTTTGGCTAAAAATATCTAAGATAAAAAAACGTTGATTCTTGTTAGCAGTGCCTTACTAGAACTATGTAGATCAGAGCCATGAAGTCTGTGGTTGCAATACTCATTGTGCGTGGTACCCATAAGTTTTGTTACACCTTAACTTCTGTGTTTTTCACTTCAGGGAGGGTTGGCAAAACAGGATCATGAAAGTCTTTTTGATTCTTGCTTTAATCAGATCCCTTAGACACGGTGGAGGACTGCACTGCCCATTATAGTAACCGCCAGCCACGTGTGGCTATTTAAATTTAGACTAATTAAAGTTCAATTAGGAATTTAGTTCCTTGGTCACGCTAGTCACATTTCAAGTGTTCAGTAGCCACGTGTAGCCAGCAGGGCCAGCTTAGAAGATGTGCGACCTATGCAGGCGCACAGGCCACTGTGTGTAAGAGGGTCTCGAGCTTGATTTAATGTCCCACTGTCACCCTCTTAAAATTCTTCTTAACTTTTGACCAGGAAGCCCTGCAATTTTGTTTTGCACTGAGACCCCAAAATTATGAAGCTGGTCCTGGTGGCCAGTGGCTGTTTTATTGGACAGCACAGATGTAGAACATTTCAGTCATCGTAGAAAGTCCTATTGGACAGCATTGATCTAGAAAAATTGTTTCATGCGAAATTTTGTGGTCTCTCAGACAGCAGCCTAACTCCACGTGTTGTCATCAGTGGCTGTGCGTCCGCTCCGAGTTATCACCATTTGGAAAGTGGGCGAGGTTGATGGTATTTGGGAAAATAAATTTGGAAAACGCTCATGATATTTATTATTTTTCTAATAAGTGGAAGCATAGCCTATTGTGTACAAACTTTAGAGCCCCACCCTCTGGATTTAAATCCTGCCGTGCCATTGCTATCTGAGCATCTTTGGGAAGTTACTTCTTTAGCTCTCTGTTTTCCCATTTTAAAGTGGGGAGAACAAAACCACTTCCCTCACAGGGCCACTACGGGGAGTAAATGAAATAACGCATTTCGGACTCTTACCACGGCGCCTGCTCCAGAGGAAATGCTCAGTTGATGTCACTTATTATTAAAAATTTTTAAACAGTAATTGGTACATGATTGTATTTTTACCTTCAGTGGTAGGCACGCTTGCTCTCCTTTTCAAGTGGTCCATCCATCCCCAGGAATCCAGATTTTCTTAACCACCAGCCTTTATTAAAGGTCTGACAGTGTGCCTGGGCCTGAAAACAAGCTGTGTTCTTCTTGGTCCAGACTGAACCATCAGTCGCTTCAGCAGAGCCCGCTGGTGGGCGGAGGAATCGACGCGGTGTTGACTTCCACACACCCAAGCCTGCCCTCCGTGCCCCTGCCTCAGGACCCGATGAGACCCAGACAGCCGCAGGTCCGGCAGCAGCAGAGGCTCCTCCAGGTACGGGGCTGGGAGGTGAGGGCAATGCATGATGAGTCCTCAGCAGTCCCAGGAAATGATGGGCACTTCATTTTATTGCCAAGTTCTAAGGAACCCTGTGTATTTGACACTAGGAGCTAGACTGGTGCAATTTGGCTCCAAGTTGGCAGAGGTCTTCCTCTGACCTAGCATCCACCGGGCCATGGGCAGGGAGTGCCTCTTGCAGAGCATCCTTCCTCTTTTGCAAAATTTCTTATGTATTTTTTTTTTAAATAAAATTGAGCTGTCTAGAGCTTTCATCAGATTCCTAGAGGGGTCTGAAGTCCAAAAAAGTAGGATATTTCAAAGGGATATTTCATCTTGGCTGTGTTAGAATCCACAGAGCTATCCTTCAATTACTGGATATAAATATTTCAGTCTCCTAGATAAAGCGTTCCTCCCCTTGACACATTCTTGCTTCTAACTTCCTCGTTTAGGAAATATAGGCTATTGTGTTCACCTGTTCCGTTTATCTCCATTGCTGTCAAGCTTGTCCTGTTGTTGGATTGGAGATTGTCTGATGAGTCTGGACAGGGGACTCTAATCTTATCAGCAATCCAACTTGAGATGCACTGTCATTTTATGTGTTACTAAGAAAGAAAAAAAAAAACAGTACAAAAATGGAGAGTCTAGTAGAGCTGGTTTACTCTCTTGGGTGAGGTCAGTGAGAAACAAACCTGTCATGCAGAAAAGGACAGCAAAGCAGCTTGCGTGTCTCAGCTTTGACGCTGGAAGAGGGAAGAAAAACTGTCTTCCCTGAGAATGTGAACCAAAGCTCCAGTGGATTTGAGGTTTGATTCATTGTGATCCAAAACACTCCTGTTGGCAGTGCCCCAGGGGACGGACAGAGCTGTACAGATCCTCTGGAGCTGGGCTTCACAATTGTAAGGTGCCATCACTTGTAAGATGCCATTAGTTGCATCCCAATTTTTACCTGTTAAAATGTAAAAAAGTTGTATCACAAAATTGGTAACAAACCTTAACTGGTTTGCAGGGAGTGTGGGCTCCCGATGTCCAGTCCCACTCATTGTATTGTCGATGCAAATAATCCATAACCGGCCTATAAATCAAAATTAGGTTGAGTTTATTATGAGCCAGAGTGAGGATTATAACCCGGGAAGGCCTTAGTAGGTGTTCTGGAGAAGCATGCGTTTCAGTACAGTCTTATATCTTTTTAGAACAAAGAAGATACATTAAACACACCCAGGATACGTTTTCAAAGAGGTATTCAGTTGCAAGTTAGCAGGTCAGCATGACCACGATGCCAGGAAAGGGACTAATCCAGGCATTACCAATAGGGCGTAGCAGCGGAAGTCTGCATTTTTATCTTAAGAGAGTCCATTCCTTACTTTAATGGATAAGCAGATGTACAATGTCTGTTTGATGGGCCGTAAGTCAGGCTTCCTAGCTCAAGCCAAATCAGTTTTGAACTTGAATAGTTACCCCATATACCTCAATATGTGAAAATCTCTTATCAGTATAGACGATATCTCCAACATAGGAAAAACCCCTTGGATCATCAAAAGTAAAATGGAAATAATTATAGTACCTATGTCTTAAATGTGTAGTGAGAATTAAATGTGAAAATGCAAGTAAAGCCCCCATTTGGTAATAATACTGTTAATATTACCATTAATATGACTATTAATACTCAATAGTGATATTCTTAAGTCAAAATAACTTTTTTCCACATTGTGAGGATATGTTTCAAAACGTTTTAGGATTGATATTTAAAGTTTTTAGTTCCTTCTGTTTTAAAATTTTTCATTTCCAAATCATTGAGGAAAGTTATTACATTGTTTATTTACCACTTCCTGTCTTACATTGGTGTTTTTTAAGGCTGCAAGTTTTGAAAGCTTTCTCTATTGGTTAATAAGTACTTTTTATCCCAATTAGCATAATATGTCCTTCTGGTAATTTTTTCGTTACCAGTGAAAGAATTGGAGATAAAGAAAAGTGATTTACTTCTGCATGAGAATTACGCTTATTCCTTTTTTGGTGACTGACCTCACCCATAAAGGAACAAATTAATAATTATTGCAGGGAGGAAGCATTTCCTCTACCACTCTAGATCCTTCTGGCCAGGCTATGAATTAAATTGACACGAGACAGAATAACAGGAGAAAATCAAACAAAGCTTTATAACATGTGTACACGGGAGACACTCAGGAAAACTGAGCAACTTGCCAAAATGGCAGAAGGTCTCATCTTAAATACCATCTTCAGCTTAAAGGCAGAGGAGGATGTTGGGGGTGGGGGAGTCAGTTATGGGAGATCACCAGACAAGTACAGTAAACAAGAGTAAGGTTATTATGCAGATTTAAGTCCTTGCCTTCCGAATTGATTAAGAGTCTCTAGAGATAAGGTCATCACCCCTTCTTCCTGGTACAGAGAGGGAGACACCCTTACAGATGGCGATTTCCCTTACAAATATAAATGTCTCTTAACAAAGGGTAAGTAGATTCTACTTTTCAGAGTTTCTTTCCTGGCTGCAGTTTTTAAAAGTAACTAGGGGTCCGCCCGGTGGCACAGTGATTAAGTTCACACGTTCCACTGCAGTGGCCCGGGGTTCTCACCACTTTGGATCCCAGGTGCAGACCTACTCACCGCTTGTCAAGCCATGCTGTGGCAGACATCCCACATGTAAAGTAGAGGAAGACGAGCACTGATGTTAGCTCAGGGCCAGTCTTCCTCAGCAAAAAGAGGAGGATTAATGGCAGATGTTAGCTCAGGGCTAATCTTCCTCAAAAAATAAAAAAAGTAAGAATAAATAAAAAAATAAAAGTAACCAGCCCAAAATAATCCTCATGCCAAAGAGACACATTTTGGGGTGGCCAATTCCAATCTCCCACATTATGAAATTAATAATTATGAAAAGTAAAACATTATGAAATTGGGTTGATTATCCTTGGAAGAGTTCACAGTGTGCCAAATGGGGAGTTGGGTCCACAATGCAACCACCATCATTCATGTTGGGAGTGACCCTGTCCAGCCCTGGGCTAGGATTACATACCCAGGAGCAGTGTCACTTAGTGAGAAATGCCATCCAGCAATAGCTATTTATTACCTTGCCCTAAAGAAGATAAATAAATTGGGAGATAGTATGCAAACCAAGTTGGAAAATGCAAAGAATGAAAAGTAATCTGGCACCAACACCAAGAAGAAGGGTTTGGGTCGAGGACACTTTAAAGGTCATTGAAACAAACGACCTATTAATATTTTCCTCTCTGTCCCACCTGGTGTATGTCTAGTCTATGCTTCTTCTGTGACTTGGAAATATTTTCCAAGAGCTATGATCTGAGCCATCTATGTCACAGACACAATTTATGATTTTATTCTGGTAATTTATACGAGAACTTCCCACATCTACATCTTCCTTTAAAAAAAAAATTCTAATCTCAAGAGTTCTTCAAGAACAACTCCTCTCTCCTCTTCCTCCTCCATCTTCATTTTCATCTTCCTTTAAAAAAAAAAACTAACCTTCAAGAGTTCATGCAGATGTCATAGGAAAGAGAAGATAAATACTGAGCAGCCCTTGTCTAACCTGGTGGTATAAGGTAGCATAAAATGTGGGAGAGCAAATGACATGGAAGGAGTTGCAACAGTAAGTGCGAAGGATGTAGGGCGGTGTGGACAGTGAGCACCGTGGCTACCCGTGGAGGAGAGCCTCAAGGTCGGCGGGGCTGGGAAGGCTCCCTGGAGGAGAAGATTTCAGTCTTGCCCTTGAAAGATGCACAGTGTTTGGCAAGGCAAAGACGGAGGAGGCAGATGTATATTATTTTTGTTGCAGCAAACTAATTAGAGAAAAGGTACGTGGGGGGAGGAGATGGGCATGATATTAACCCCTGTGCTGACCTGTATAATCCTCTTCTTTCTTTCTAGATGCAGCAGCCCCAGCAGCCCCCACAGCCCCCACAGAGTCAGACCCTCAGTCTCCAGGCCATGCAGCCCCAGCAGCCCTTGGTAAGGCCTGGGGTTTTGGAATCAAACATGGGCGTTCTCTTTAAAGGCGGGTTGCAGCTTTCATGTCCCATGAGATTGTTAAAAATTGAAATAGCCTAAAGGTGCCCTAGTGGTTTTTCCCTATAACTTTATCAGAGTAGGATTGTGGTGGTGTATTCAGCCTATTTGTTTTCATAGAAACGTATAAATATTTGAGGTTCGGTAATTTCTATACCATTTTTCCTGTTCATGTTTTTTTCAGACTTTTCCATGGACTAAAATACTTATATTCAGACACCAAGTTTTTTTCTAAACAATGTTAAAATGATAATTTACTATATATATATATATATATATGTTTAGAAGATGATCTAACTTTACTCTGAACTTTTACTATAATCTCAAAGAAACCATGAGAGTTTTCACTGATGTAAAAGAAACACCGATTTCAGCCCGTTAGCATTTGCTACAAGAATCTTCGCGTAATTCGTAGTCGTACAGTTCCCAGCTCTGGCGTTGAACGGTCATATGCTTGGCGTCAATCGGCGTTTTCTAAGCCTGGGTAATGGACAACAGGCTTTCCTTTGGCGCCATATCCCGGCTTTATTTTTCACTTACTATAGTTTTTTTTAAATTGCCTCTCTTTCTATTTACTTAAATGTGTTCTAAAAAAGGAGCATTTTATCACTACCATCAGTGGTCACATCACTTGCTCCATATTGGAAATATCTGTAAAAGTAAATGCTTGCTCCAAAGGTCACTCAGCAACATGAATTGTGGGAGTGAGTACTTACTACCCATGATGAGCTGGCCACCACACGTGTCTCAGGCTTGGGAAAAACTCCTGGTGTTGACTCTTTAAGACAGGATTTGAAAGATGGATGGTTTCACAACTTGTAGTAAGAGGGAACAGCATGGGCTATAGTATGTTTGGAGGGGTCACAGTAGAGTTCGGTGGCAAAGGACTGATGACGATGCCCAAACAGGACTGCTAATGGGACACGGGCAGCTGAACAGAATTCTCAGGCGCACTTCACAAGCCTCTGCCTTGGCCAGTTTGATCTCCATTTTTAAGGAAATTCTCCTTTATCATGGCTCTCGTTTTTTCAGCTCTGATTTTGTTTTTGTTTTTTAATGCATCTGTGACATTTATTGCAATCCACCTTAAAAAAATCCTTTTTCAAGTGGACACAATATGTAAACATTCAGACTGCCTACTTTCTTTATGGGCAGAGGTGTTCTAGCAGGGATTGGCGGACTGACTGACGCTCGTGGAAGGGTCGCCTTTGGATGGGGTCTGCTACCTGAGCCGGCTGTCTCACCTGAGAATGAGATACAACTGTGTATTATGAAATAATTTCAAAGTAACAGAAGAGTTGCAAGAATAATGCAAAGAATTGTGATAAACTCTTCACCCAGATTCACTAAATAATATTTTGCCACATTTGCTTTATTATTCTCTGTACAGATACAATACACCCCTTTACTCCAAATGCTTGTAATTTTTCAAGAACAAGGGTATTCTCTTACAAAAACCTGGTACAATTATTAAAATAAGGAAGTTGAACATTAATACAGTGCTACAATCTGTACATCTTTTGCAAGTTCTGCCAATTGCACCGGTAATGTCCTTTATTGCTGGTTTTTTTCCAGTCTAGGGTCACGCTTTGTATTTAGCCTTCCTGTCTTTTTACTCACCTTTAATCTGGAACAATTCTGTGCCTTTTGTTTGTTTGTTTTGTCTTCAGATGTTGACATTTTTGAGGTGTATAGGATAGTTATTTGTAGAATGTTACTCAGTCTGGTTTGTCTGATGTTTCCTTGTGATTAGATTCAGATTATGCATTTTTTGGCAGGAATATCACAGGGGGGATGTGTCTTTCTCAGTGTGTCACATTAGGGTATCCATTACGGGTTAATCCATTACTTTAGTCTCCTTGTTTAGGTGATGGGGTAGGTTTCTCCACTGTACAGTTATTGATCCTTTTGTAATTAATAAGCAATTCATGGGGCTAGTTTGATACAGTCTAACTGCCCTTTTACTCGTCAGATGTTCACCCATTAGTGTTAGTGTCTATTAAAATTATCCTTGCCTAAATCCGTTTTTACTCTGGTAGTGGAAAAATGATGATTTGCTAACACTGTTGTTTTTTCTGCCCTTAACCGTTGGTCTTCTCTTTTAAGGAAGAGCTTTCCCTTCTTCCTCATTTGTCTGCCTCTCCCTGAGTTACGTTTTAAATAGGATGCCTAACATCTAACTCTCAGATTATGAAGTGTGCACCTACTGGGAAGAGGTAATCCCTCCTGTAACTTTACCCAGTATTCTGTAGTTGCATATGGCACCAATTAGATTAAGTTTGGCAACTTACAAGTTCACTTTGCACTAAGTATATTACTCTATGAGGCAGTAAAAGGCTTGCAGGATCCCTGCTCTTTTGTTTCTAGATACAGCAAAAGAATTGGTGGTATTCTGACAGGAAGCCGAGACATAAATGGTAACGCATCTGCAAATTATGTCATGTGGAGTGTTTGGAATATTTGATGTTGACCTGGCAAATCCTCAGCCTTTTTTTCTTTCTAGTTTAAAGCAAATCCTTCTTATGCCGTAGTGCTCACGTTAGCAGCAGAGGATTACGTAAAGAACTGGGAGAAATAACTGCAGTATAAGTATACCTTTCCAGAGACTTTATGCAGCTTCATAAATGAGCACCTGACTAACTATTATACATTAACTTGAGAATTATGACTTCTTTGACTAGCCATTGCTATCAAAGAAATGGTTACATGATCCTACTTTAACAAAAAAGCAAAAATTAAATGTAGGACTGCCTCCGTTCCTTCTGAGTACATCATAGTACGGTATTGCATGTTTTTAGCTGGTTTTTCACTGATTCATATATGTAAATGTCTTGCATATGAAATACGCATATGTGGCTCACAAATAAATCTATACAGACACTTAACCTATATATTTACATTTATTTATATTAATCTATGTATTTTTTCTATGTATTTAAAATCTATATATTTAATCACACAGATGTATAAGTGCCATCCTAAGACTGTGTGAGTTTTACTTTTCAAAAACGTTCACTTTAATTTGTGGGCACATACCCTTACAAAATAGTTAATAATTTCAACAAAAAAACTTGAATTGGATTAACATCCGCAATTAAGCAGACATTAACAGCACCTTCGTTAGTCTTTCTCTTTGGCCTTCCTCCACCAATTATTAAACGTTCTTTTAGTTGGTTTATAATGTAATATGTAGGAAACATATAAAATGTTAAGGGTGTAAAATCAGTTTTATTCTTAGAGAATGATGCTACATAAGCACAGCTGGTACCTGAAATGTTAACAGTTATTTTGAGTAGGGTAAAAAAATAAACATTTGAGTCTATGACAAAGTTAAATCTATGGGGCTGAGGTGGAGAATGTCTCTGAACTTCTTAATTATAATCTGAAGCAGAGGATCAGCTGGTGCGGCATTGAGAGGAGAGTCTGTCCCCATGTTCCACTAGAATTAAATCATTTCTAATATAAGGGAATTTAATATCTTTCTACTCATCTAATAGTTGAATAAATACTTAATAAGTTTATTATGCGTAAAGAATAGATATCAAATTTCTTCAATTTTGACTTCTAAGACAGTGTTGAAGTTTTTTAATGCAGTAGGTTGTATTTCACTCTCTCACTTAAAATACTTCCGTCCCAGGAATTGGGGAGGTGAGTCAGAACATGGCCCGTGATGTTTCCCCATTGTGTTCATAGGAACGTGATTCCAGAGAATCAGCAAGCTCCATTACAGCAATTTTAATGGATGGTGAAGTAGGCTTTCCATGGTGTATTGTTTTTTTAAGCTGAAATTTTTCATGGCTGCCCTGAGAAGCACGGTATCTTATTTTGATGGTTAGAGCACTATATATAATCTAGGCAGCGATTATTTGTACAAAGACAGGAATATTGTATATGTCGTAAGTCTTAGGACGGGCCAGGAAATTTAAAACGTCGCTTGGATAGATTTCAGATAATGTCAGAATTAGCTGTTAGGGACATAGTCAATGGTCTTGGATTTTTACATTTTTCTAATTAGGGTTTTTTTTTAGCATACTTGTTTACATATACTGTTAAGTTTGTTAATATCGTCGCCGAGTTTGTCGTTTTAAATAGCTGTGGATCAGTCGTCATGTTGCTCTGCCGTCATTGGCTTAACCGCCCCACCCACTGTTGATCATTTAGATTGTTTCCAGTTTCAAAAACAGTGCTTCTAGGATGTTTTGATATATATATGTTCTATTTCTCTTTTTTCGGTATTCTCACGATAAAAGAAAATAGAAGTGTAAGAAAAAAGGTACCTCTCCTTGTATCTCTTCAGAACAGCAGTAGCCCAAAGCCTCAGCAGTAATAAGAAAAATTTTGTATTTCTTTTTATCTTTTAGTAGCGTTTCTTTTCTCGTTAGTTCCGCTAAGATTTATTGCATGCCTTATAAATATCTTTTTTTATTTTTGAGGAACACTAGCCCCGAGCTAACATCTGCTGCCAAATATCTTTATGTTTACTATCAACATCTCCAGCTGGTCCTGTTCTTGGTACTGGCCAGCGCTCTTCCTTCTCTGTGTCTGCCTTGCTGGGGCAGAGGGTAAGCTGGCTGCTGAGGAGAAGCAGCTCTGACTCATTCGGGTCTGACTCATGCCTCATGCCAACTGCAGGGGAGTGGGTAGTGGTCACACAGCCACCGCCCTCCCCATGACTGGCCGTCCCGCTCTCTGGTGACAGGCACACTTCCCCCAGCAAGTGCTTCAGCCTGTACGGTGGAGGTCACGGAGCTCACCCGCAGAGCGCCAGGTGTGCTCCCTGACACCACAGGCTGGAGCCACAGGAGCGGGGGAAGGGGACCTGCTCATGGAAGCCGTAGAGGAGCTAGAGGGGTCGCATTAGTTTGCTAGGGCGGCCCTAACAAGCACCACGGGGAGCTTACACAACAGAAAGGTTGTCTCTCCGTTCTGGAGGACAGGAGTCC